GTTTTTTTTTTTTTTTTTTTTTTTTTTTTTTTTTTTCTAGCTTGTATTGAATGAAGGTCTCCAACTTTATTTCTCTCTATAATCCGCGGCTGTCACTGCTACTGCTGCTGCTGCTGTTGCTTCTTTTGTGTTACGCCGCTGATATTAGTGATGCTGCTCTACAGCCAGCTGTGGCGCTATTTGATAGTGAGCATACTCAGATTTTATCCGTTACAAAATGGCGTGAGATTGACTTTGGTGTACGGAGTAGCATAGGTCATGGTAAGCGGCCAGCGAAGGTGTTTGCCCTTCAGACAACCATTGGCATTTCTGGAAACATGAAAACTGTAGCTGATTCAAGAGGTGCAAGAGATTTGTTTTTGATTCCTTACTGTTCTCTATCCAGTGACACTGCGTCTACTGGGAATATCAATTCTTGCTCACTGGATGATTATGAAGGGTATATATTACTGCGTTTTCGTGGTGGATGGGAAGGAGTTTTTGCAGCATCACTCTGGCGGGACTCAACTATGAATTCAAATGTTATGTCTGCCGTTCATTTTTTCAAGGCCATCGCCAATGATAGTAGTTTGACCTTCCCATTTGATTTGGAACGATCAAGTTCAAAGGTTTCCTCAGCTCTTTCCCGTCGGTATGAGCTCTCTGAGAATTGTGGTGATTTCACAGATGAATGCTTTCAAGGCCGCTACATGACCTATACAACGAGTTTTAAGGAAATACCATTAGATAGATTTACTGGGAGAATGATATTTCATGTGGGTGTAGAAGGTGGTTGGAATGGGCCGTGGACTCTACGACTACAAAGCACGATGCTTCATGACTCCTCTACGTATGTTGACATTGTTATGGTTTTGGTGGACAAAAATGGACCCCTTAAATGGTATTTATGGTTAAATTCAACTTTTTTGGGAAATGTGCTGCTGGTAGTTTTCTGCTTAGTGTGGGTGCTCTGTTTTATAGTGGGAGTTAAGGAATTAGGTATGCGGCTTTCAGTATTGGTTCCACTGAACGAACGCTATGTCACTGTTCTATATGAAGATATTGATGATGATGATCATCAGTGCATCTCTCTCTACCGCATCATGCTCGCAACGCAGGAGATATTTTTAAAAATTCTTAATCAGTTATTTTTGTTACAATGCGCATTTTTGAATCGTCTCCAGTGTTGTTGTTCATGGCGCTGGGGACAGCGACGACGACGATGGATGCATGATTTCACACAACCAAACTCTGAAGATGTGGTGGTGGAGAATGCAAACAATGAAACTGGTTCACGTGAGGTAGAAATGGAAAATGTCGCTTTAAACCCTAGTAGCAGTGGCACGAATAAGAACAATAATAACGATCAAACGCATGAAGAAGAGGGAATACAACAAAGAGAAGAAAGAGGGGAGCGAGAAAACGACGACGACGATGATGATGATGATGATGAGATTTTATGCCGTATATGCCGTTGCTCCAAACCTGTGGAAGAGTTATTTGCGCCTTGTTCTTGTGATGGATCTTCCAAGTATGTTCATAAAAGTTGTTTAGAAAAGTGGCGTACTATGACTTCAAATGAGGAACATAAAAGAGTTTGTGCAGAGTGTAAAACACCCTATGTTTTGATGTTAGAAAGGATTCCAGTATCACCTGATGAATTTCTTAATAGTCCGATATGTGTACCAGCATGTCGAGCGTTCGTTTCGCGTGCCGCCATGATGCTGCTATTTGTGCTTCTTCTATGGATTGGTGGTTATTACTTAAAATTCTGCATGTATCTTGTTACTGGACTTGATGATGGAGTTATATGGTCTTCTGCACACCTTTATCATTGGGTTCTGGGGCTGTACTATATAATTGCACTCTGTCTCAATATGCATGCTCTCGAGTATGTTTTACGCGATTTTTCTGAATCGTGGCAGCAGATGCTAATTCTTCTTATTTCTGTAGCTGTTGTTGAGATTCCTCTCAGTTACGTAGGACAAATAGTATTGTCGTGGTTGCTAAATAGGTCATGGTCATTTGAGGTATCATATGGATTAGGCATAATGGTCACAGCTGTCTTATACGTTGAGGTACTTCCTCACTTATACGAGCATTTACAATCTCTTTTAACAGTACGTGTTGTGGTTGCTCCTCGTACAGAAAGTGTACGAAATAGGGAAATTCTGTAAAATAAAGGTTTTTTTTTTCTCTATATATATATTTATATATATTTATATATTTATATATTTATGATTACTTTCTTATTTTTGATCTGCTGTTGAATATCTAATGACCACTGAAAAGACTGTATCAGTATCAAGTATATAAATATATGTATTACCTTTTGATTGTGCTATTTGTATTTTTGTTTCTTTCTTTTTTTATTTTGTTTGGGTATTTTAGAAAAGGGGTAACACACATCAGAGGTAATGCTCCGGCGTAGCGCACTTTCGTTGTATTCCAGCATCGCGACCCCTATTGGGAAGGGACGCGTTGTGCCATTAAAGTTCGACAGCCTCAAGCCTGTCTACGTACCCAAGAGCTTTGTGACGCAGTTCTTTGTCTTGGGACTGTGGACTATCAGCAACATGGTGCCTAACTTTGTTTTCGCCTTTTTGATTATTGCTGGTGCTCACGGAGGACTGACGGGTGCTTGGCCTCCAGATCCACATTCTCTTCACCCTTAAGAGGAAACTCTATAGTAGGAAAAGGGAAAGAGAAAAGTTTATGGGAATATTGCAGAAAAAACATATGCACGTGTGTTTGTGTCTGTGAAATAAGGAAAAGTAGAGGAGTAGCATGTAGTAGAAGTAGCAGTTGGAAGGGAATATTTATGTGTTGTGTGACCACTGCGGCGGTAGGTAAGGTCGGAATTATGCACTAAGAGAATTTTTTTTTTTTTCACTTTTACTCTCTTTCTTTATCTATCTTCTCTCACTCTCTCCCTATCTCTGGAGGGTAGTGGTTTTAGAGATGCAATGCCGACTGCAGATACAAACTGTCTTTCTTTACCATTTCTGCTTCTAGAAAGAGGAATTGTTTCTCATTCTTTTTTTCCCCTTCTTTTTTTTTCTCTCTTTTCTTCTTGGTGTCTTTTTTTTTTTTTTATTCATGTGGGGGAACGGTATTAGTGGTGGTGGTGGTGGTGGTGGCAATCAAAGGTGCACATCACAACAGTCAGGTTCCCGGAAAAAGTCTTTCCAGACGACCAAAAGAGACTTATTCAATAGGTCTGTTTAATATTAAACAGAGTAAACAGGAAAGATAGATAGAATATAAGAAAGGGGATGGACAACTATAAGATTCTCAATCAACTAGGCGATGGAACGTTTGGTTGTGTTGTAAAGGCAATACATAGGAAAACGGGGCAGATCGTCGCAATCAAAAAAATGAAACAAAAGTACTACACCTGGGAGGAGTGTGTGAAGTTACCTGAGGTGGCGGTAGTGCGCCGCATTCATGGACATCCAAATATAGTCAAAATGAGGGAGGTTATTCGTGAACATAATCAGTTATATTTTGTATTTGAATACATGGATGGGGATCTTCTGGGCGTTATTCGCAAGGCGAAGCAAATGCAAAACTACGCCGTAGGATCTACAGGCCCTCCCCTTGGGTATCCAACAATCAAAAGTTATGCGTTTCAAATCCTGCAGTCACTTGCCTATCTGCATCAACGCGGATATTTTCACCGCGACATGAAACCTGAGAATTTGCTCATAAAGAAAGATCCAACCTCTACACCACAAGAGGTCGTTAAATTAGCTGACTTTGGCCTCGTAAAAGAAATTCGCACACGCCCACCTTTTACAGATTATGTCTCCACACGCTGGTATCGCGCTCCGGAATTACTGCTTCAAGACCGGGCCTATAGCAGTCCTGTGGATATATGGGCTGTGGGCTGTATATTGGTAGAACTCATAACTACCCGCCCTCTTTTCGCGGGAAGTAATGAGGTGGATCAACTGCATAAGATTATGACTGTTTTAGGTTCACCGAACGAACAGATATGGCCTGAAGGTATGATACTTGCCAAAAAGATTCGGTATACATTCCCTTCAATAAAAGGGATCGGACTTGAACGTGTGTTACCAGCACACATCCCTCCTCAGGCATTCGACTTAATAAAACAGATGCTTGTCTATGATCCTAAAAAGCGTCCTACGGCGCAAGAGTGTTTACAACATCCTTACTTTAATGTTGGTCTAGATGAGGGTAATTTTGCACCACCAAACGTTACGAAGCAATTAGCAAATGCTGCAAAGAGATACACTCCAAATCCACAGAGTGCCCCTTCAGGGAATTCTATCTCAAATCCTGCATGTAATACCAATCGACCTTTAATAGGAGCTTCCACTGCCCTACCAAAACAGGGTACTGTGGGACAAAATTCATCATTTTCCCAACAACAACAACAAGGATTCTGTGCACCAGTAGTGGCTGAATCAAAAACTAATTCAGAGGTAAAGGGATATAATTCTTCAATAGTAAAGGGAGATTCATTGAAAGAGCAGAAATCAATGGCCAAGAAAAAAGAAGATTCAACGAGGGCACCGGGTCCTTTTGTGGGGAAAAGCAAGAATAATCCACCTACTGTACAAAAAAATGATAGTGAAGTAGACTTGGATGGACTAATGAATGAGTTTGCGGGAGAACTCAAGACATTAGGTCTCCTTCCACAGCAAAAACAGGAAACTACTTGTTCTACGTTCAATAATACATCTGATAAAAAGAGTCCTCTACAGGATATAAATCTTGGTAGACCACCAGCTGGGTCCCTTAGTACTCCAACTATTTCACCGACTGGGCAAGACCTTGTCACAACGCTCCTTAGTTCCACTCGATATAAGAAGTCTTCTTTTCAAAGTATGGAGAGTGGAAACTCCTTGGTTTCACCAGGACAAGGTCCTCTACAGTCTTTACGGTCTCTAGAACCCTTGAGTCATCGGAATTCTTCATTAGGTGGTAGTGGTGTTAGTGGTGGCGGGAGTAACGCAGTATCACCTTCTATCAAGGCACTGCTAGCAAAACATAGAGAAGGGAAATTCCATTCCATGAAGTAGCAGGACTGTTACCTTTGTGATACAAACAGTTGAATATTGGTTTGATGTACCGTTGCGATGTTTCAATACATATTGCACACTTGGTGAGAGAAATTGACTGTCAAGGATGAATCAATGTGAATACCAAATGTCTTGTTTTTTTTTTTTTATCTTATTTTATTTTCTTCCTAGTTGATTTTTTTTTTTTTGGCGCATTTATACAATATATATATATGTCTGTTTTTTTTTTTTTTTTTTTTTTTTTTTTTTTTTTTATAAGTAATGTGAATGTGAAAGAATAGCAATGCTCAGCGAGGCAATGTCAAAAATAAAATAAAATAAAACCTACTTCGTTGATGAACTGGGGAACGCCTGTCNCAAAAATAAAATAAAATAAAACCTACTTCGTTGATGAACTGGGGAACGCCTGTCTGAAGAAAGTTGGGAAAGATAAACAAGATAAAGTAAAACAAATAAGAAAAAAGAAATAATAAGCCTGTGGTCTCAGCAAATAGTTGAGACTGTAGATTCAAAATCTATCAAAGTAGACACTGACATTTAAGTTTCTTTGTAGCTTCTATTATATAGAAACTTTGAATAATGGCTTTCACGAGCGTTAACGTTGCTATTTTAAAGTCGTACTCTGCGCGTGTTTTTGCCTATTGTGGCGAAGTGGTAACCAATTCATCCACTGGGACTTTGTTGCTCATGGCTGCAATGTCTCTGGTATGGTTCTTCATATTGTATTGGTTCTTTTTCCTCTTCGTTCCGGGTTTTATCATGGACAGACATCTTCGGCACATTCCACAGGTCCCAGGTAAACTTCCACTCTTGGGTCATGCCCTACTTTTGCTGGGGGGTTCACCATGCTCAAAAATGGCAAAGTGGAGTCTCAATCCACATACGTCTACTGAAGCCAAAAAAAAAGAAGATTCCTCACGCCTCAATCGTATTGTCAGCTTTACTGTTTTTCACCAACGTGTTGTGTACATAAATGATCCTGCATTATTAAAACGTGTCCTCCTTACTAACCAACGAAATTACGCTAAGGATATTGCTTCTTCATACAAGCAGTTCATGTGCCTACTTGGTAATGGGCTTGTAACAGCTGAAGGAGAGAAATGGAGGAAAGGTAGATTACTGCTTTCACATGCTTTGCGTATTGACATATTGGAAGAAATTCCTGAAATGGCAATGAAAGCGGTTGGGAGAATTGCAGAAAAATTATCTGCCATCAATGAAAAAATGCCTTTTGTGGATATGAATGAAGAGTTCCGCCACATGACATTACAAGTGATAGGGGAAACTGCACTTTCTTTGACTCCGGAAGAAACAGACCGTATTTTTCCAACACTTTACCTCCCTATTGTTCATGAATGCAATCGACAGGTATGGGAGCCTTGGAGAGCCTTTATGCCATTCTCAGAAGGCAGTCGACAACGCCGTTATTGTTTAAAACAACTTAATAGTATCTTATGTGAAATGATACAGAAACGTTGGGAAGATAGAGACAAACCTCATAAACGTGATATTATGGCACTATGTATTTCTCAAATTGATAAAATGGACGCAAAAATGATCCTACAACTTCGAGATGATGTAAAAACAATACTTTTGGCAGGTCATGAAACTTCAGCAGCTCTATTGACTTGGGCAACTTATGAAATGATTTGTCACCCTGAGGTTCGAGAAAAAGTTCTGGAAGAGGCGAGAACCCTTTTTGACCCAGCACGTTGTAGCAAAAAAATTGTGACACCTCAAGGGTGTACATGGGGAATCCCAACTGCATCTGATGTACGGAAAATTCTTCGATGGTCTCCGGCTGTTCTTCGTGAAACACTACGCAAACACTCTGTGGTTCCATTGGTCATGAGAATGGCTCTGAAGAATGATACATGGCCTGCCTCGGAGACTGGTCTTGACAAGGATGTTGTTATTCCTGCCGGGTGCACGGTGGCAGTGGGAATCCAAGCTGTGCATAATCGCCCTGATATCTGGCCGGATCCTGAAGAATTTAGACCAGAACGTTTTCTTGACGTTGAAATTCCAAATAACACCAACGCCCAGGGTAATGAAAAATATGAGAAAAGTATTGATCCATATTCCTTTATTCCTTTTATCAACGGACCGCGCAATTGCCTTGGACAACACCTTTCGATTATGGAAACTGAAGTGGCGTTGGCATACTTGTTTCTGAATTGGGAGCTGGACCTTTATGGCAGCAAAGTTAAAACCACCGGGGCACCAGACCGTGAACTGCAAGAAGAAGTTGGTAAACCGCATGAATACTTAATACCCATAGTGCCCCGTGAAGGTCTCAAGGTTGTGGGAAGGCCACGGCTGTAGATGATAGTCATAGGTAGCGGAGTATAGGAGGAAGAACAAGATGAAAAGAAAAAAAAAAAAAAAGGGTATGGTAAGAGGGTGAAGGGATCTTGAATTGAGAAAAAGAAATCAAGAAAAAGAAAAAAAAAAGAAAATGAGAAAAAAGTTTGGTGACTGGTAAAAGTGATTTAGGAAAGTGTTTCCTCTTTTGCTTACTTTTGCTTTTTTTTCCCCCACCACAATACCGTGGTTTTTTTTTTTTTTTTCTTTTTTCTCTGATATTTTAGAGGGTATACATGTTGTTGTCTTTATTGTAATTGCCATGATGTATTACAACGACGGAGGTAGTGATGATGTAAACACCTTCTCTGATTCCAGTTCTGAATTAGAGTCGGTGACCCCCAACCGAATAAATTCTCTCTTTACTATGGCCAGTGCGATTTCTACAAAAATACAAAATGCAGGACAAGTATTACGTTCTCTCATTCACCACGAGAGTGGACGCGCGTCTGAGTCGTTGCCGTTGGCGTCCTCATTGCAAGAGGATGGTAGCAGCGGTGTGTGTGGTGTGGATCCAAAGACCGCCTTTGACGTTGATTCCCATCATGAATTTGTGTCCATGGACACATCATTATCGAATGATCTTACGATAAAAGATGAATCTTCCATTCTAAAGGAATGTTCAATAACAGTTCAAACAGTTCAACCCGATAAGGGATATTTGCTTGTGTCCGATAAGGGATGGGAAAATGGTGTTCCTCTAACTCCCCCCCATACGTCTCATCATTCTTTTTCATCATACCTCACAAAGTCATCATTGCGGCGATTAGAAGAAGAACTTTGCGAGCGAATAGGAAATAATAACGATAAGAACTCGGAATCACAAGATGGATCAAGTTTCGCCGCCTGTGCGACAGACTCTTCCTTTTCTTGTGCTCAGTTTTCTACAGAATTGAATGCATATGCTAAAAAAATAATAGTTTATATTGAAAATATTCTCATGTCTTTGAGTGATGACAATAATATGATCTTTACTAGTATAGAAAAAAAGGAAATTGAGGACATTACAGATAGTATTAAGAGAATAGTGAAAGATATTTGCACAGCTTCAGATGATGTCCAGAAGGGTCTTGATTCATACAATGCAGCACTAAAAATGATGACAGAGAAAACCAAATTGTACGAGAAGCGCATTGTTCATATGACGCAAGAAAAAGAAGCTGTCGCTGACTCAAGACGAGAAGCCGTATTGGAAGTTTCAAAACAGCTTCAGAAGAAACGGACGGAGGTAAAGTCTCTTCTTCTACAGTCAGGCGTTCGTAATGATGAATTGCAGAACACATCACTCTATCTTGAGTCAGGAAAAAAACTAAAGAGGGATGTACAGTTTGAAGAGGAAGAAGCGATCTGCGGTTTAAGCTCTGATAGCAGAATCTCTCCAACGTCTGAAGTTTTGCAGAAGAGTGACAGAATGGATGCTTGTTCTATAAATTCGTCGTTAACGATGACATGTGATAATGATGTTGAGTCGAGAAGGCGTTGGATTCTTGATAATGCCTTGGGATATTTTTTAAGATGCAAAGAACCTTCGGTGCCAGAATGCGTTTGTACTATGATTGCACGTATGCAGCCACATGAGATGGCAAATGATGTGCTACGTTCTCGACGGCAGATGTCTTGCCTTTTTACCCTTATGAATCGTTGTCCTGCTGCTACTAGTTTCTACTTGATGCTCTTGGATAAGCGAATGGAGGCAATAGAAAATGTTTTGGATAACCTGGAGAAAGAGTGCTTTACTAGGAAGAAGGAACTTTTCGATCATTATTTCAACTATTGATTATATTTGTGTTTATGATTATGATAATAATAATAATATTATTATTATGATGATGATGATGATTATTATTATTATTATTATTATTGCTCTTGTTTAGTGATATCACTTGTGATCATTTCTACAAAGATGCTTTGCTTTTTTTTTTTACTTGGTGCACTTTGGATGCTGCTGTTAGTAACTTCATCTCTTACTTGTCTCCAAAAATTACTTTGCTCTATGGTTATACCTATTGCTTGGTGCATTTTTTTTTTTTTTTTTTTTAACTGGAGTTGGGGCTAATTCACTTTACTGCCTTTTTTGGGGGGTAGGGGACTCACTGCTTTTTTTTTTTTTTTTCCTTTCGTTTCTTCTAATCTTTATCAGTTGTTATCAATGCTGTTAAAAGACCACAGTGGATGCAAAACCCACCAACTACACATTGCCGTAGCGTAAGACAAGTTCTCCATGTCCTACAGAAAAAGTACCAATGGCTTGAAAGAGATGCTCGTGTGTTCTTTCTTGCAGGTAAGTGGCAGCAAGACTTATTGAATTGGATCACAACTAGATCTGATGGAAGAGAAAAAAATTCTGGAGCACGATACAAGACTTCTCAAAATGTGTCCAAGAAAGTTTTGGGTAATTGGGTTCATATTAACGATAAGATTAGTTCTAAAGCGAATTTTCTTAAGCAAGTAGTTGGCATCCAGGAAAGCGACACACCACCTGATCCTTTGTTCTATGTATTCGCCGATGCAAATCAAAGTGCACCTTTTCAAATACATAACGTTCATAACAATCTTTGTACGCTTCCAATGACCACATCAGAGGCAGCATCGTATATTCGACAACAAGTAAGAGGTGCGAAAAGTACTGACTCCACCGCGTTGTCAATTTACAATGAACCAAGAGTTATTACTAGTATTATTCAGAATAAAGTACATAATTATCCATCACTAGATGCTTCTTATGCTCCTTTATTGGATCGTCATTCTGCAGATCTTCTTGCAGTGGATTTCGCCTTGGAGTTGCCGTTTGAAAACCCATCCAGGTATTTAAATGAGATTGTAGAGGTGCGACAGGGTGCCTTTGATGCCGTTACACTTAGTAGCCATCTCCTCAAACCTTCAGGTACATTATTGTTGCGACTTCCTTCGTATGTAAAAGGGGGCAACAACTGTATTATTCGGGCACTTTTGCATCACATGCGATGGGGCTTTCAGGTATCTGTATGTGAGTTTAGTGGGGATCATATTTACTGTATGGGGTGCAGGATAGCCACCGAACATCCTATATCTCAGGTGCGCGGAGACCGTTTTCCAGGATATTTTAAAAAATTTGAACGCCGACCTAAGAAGTGGAACCCCCGTACAACAAATGCTCAAGGTTACTTTGCTTCTCAAATGCCGAGCTTTACAAACGCACCGCTCGTAAAGGAGCCACTCTGTCACGCAATTAAGGAAGAAATGGAAGCTACTAAAAAGGATGAGGAGAAGGCAAATAAATTCTTTAACTTATCTGTTTCAATGGTTGAGAGAGGTTTGTACCATAGCAAACGGGATGACTAGGGAATTTATTGTTTTTCTTTTTTTTTTTCTTCTCACCCCTCATATTTGTGGTTCTTCTGGTGTTTTCATTTGATACGACGTCTAAACTGCTTATTCTCTTCCCACTATTGCTACTGATGCCTGTGTGTACGGTTGTGTGTATCATATAGCGAATAGTTGTTACTTTTTCACCCTACCTCCATCCCTTTTCTTTCATTCTTCTCTCTTTTTATTAACCTCTGCTTAGTAGTCTAGAAGGAATTCATGCGTGAGGGACAGCAGCGGGTGACGTATCCACCAGGGTTTTTATTTTTTCGCACCTCCGACTGTATTTTACTAATTATCGGATTAATAGCCGTGTACCTAGCCTTAAAGTTGGGGTACCAGATTGATTTGTTGAGTGCTGCATGGGAAAATTACTTGAAACCCAATTATGACGTTGATCTTTGAATGATTTTGGATAATGGCGTCCCACGTATTTTGCTCTTATTCTTGTTTTTCTTAGTCTTTGTGATTTTTTTTTTTTTTACCAGGAATTTTTTTTTTTTTTTGGTTGGGCTGGAAGAGGGTGTTGATGATGTGCGAGGGGCCCATAATTTATAATAGAATGTAAGGCAACAGCAACACGAACGAGCTGTCATTTATATACGGTTTTTTTTTTTTTTTTTGAAAATAAAAAAAGCACACACTTTACATAAGGACATGGTTGTTTTCCTTTATTCTTATTGCCGCCTATGTATGTATGTATGTATGTATATATATGTTTTTTTTTTTTTTTGCTTCTATCTTAGGATTTTTAACATCTAAGGGTCTCGTTTTAAAGATATGGTTGTAGCATTGCGTTTTTTTGCATTGCTCCTGTGGTTCTTCGGCGTGGTACCGTTTTTTTGCGCGGGAATGGAGATTATCCAACTGCCTTCTAACATTGTATCGCGAATGAATGGAGAATGGGGTATTGAGGTGCAGACCCCATGCGATCCGTACATTCTCACTGGTACTGTTTCACTTGAGAATGGTACTATTGAGCCGGACTGGGCGCTGGCGCTTCGTATGACGAGTGCGCCGGCAGAGTCGTGGCTGATGGATGCGAGTGGTCTTCGCGCCTTCGCCCCCGTTGGACGGGGACGGGGGACGGTTTCTCTCTCGTACGCTATTTGTGGTGAGCAGAGAAACACCATCCCCACACCTGATCGTCCTGGATTTGAGAAAAAAATGGAGACAACGGAACTTACCGAGTATGTCGGAGTCTTATCAAACGGGGAGGATGATACAAAGACATGCGATTCAGCGGCGCCTAACGTAATCATTCACACACTCGGGAGTGATATTCAAGGTTTAAAGGAGACCCACTGGAAGGTGAAGGAGTCATTACAGTACATTGAATTTAAATTTAATGCTGAAGAATTAACAAGCCATTGCGTGGATAAGACAGGAAAAGAACGTACAGAGACAAAAAATGTTGCTAGGGAGGGTAGGGGAAGAAAGCGACGTGCAAATATTCTTGCAGGGGATAGTGGTACATTGGAGGGTTTCATTGATCAAAACGTACGAGAAGGCGCAATTATCATCAGGTTTGTGCGTCGGTCACTTCCTGCCAAGTCATTTTACGAACGCTATTTCACTTCCCTTCTCTTTGGTGGCATTATGATTGCTTACCGTGTTCTACAGGGTTTTATTTCATATTGGACTATCAAATATTAGGTAAGTTTGTTAAACTGGTAAAAACAAAAAAAAAAAAACGACAACAAAAAAAAGGATACATTTTCCTCTCTTTTAAGAAAAAAAAAAAAAAGACGGGTAAACTGTTTTATCTGAAGTTTCCCGAATCGTTCGGTAGTGATTGTTTTTTTTTTATTATTTTTAACTTTATTTCTCTGCCATCTTTTTTCTTTTTTTTTTTTTGGAGATTGCTCACATACTTTTTCGTTCTTTTTTTTCTTTTTTAACATTTTTCTGTGTATGCACCACCCTCCCCCTGCAGTTGCCCAAAATAGTAGTTTGTAGAAATGCCAACAACTCCAGCTAGCGAAAACTGGTGGGTCTACCTTATTGAGCAAGGATGGATCCCCTTCTTCGTAATGGGATTATTGATGCTTGGCCTTAGGATTTACAACGTTCACCAACGTCAGGAGCAACGGAAGTTGCTGCGTGAGGGATTTATGTCAGAGCTAGCGTATCAAGACGCATTACGAAAAAAACATGCTCGGAGTGATTAGTAAAAGACTCGTCATCAGCACTGTATAGCACAGTGGTCCACCATCATTGCACTCAACTGGCTTATTCTGTGTCTAAGTCTGTTTATTATTATTATTATTATTATTATTATTATTATTATTATTACAGTAATGGATTCATGGAAATCTACCTTCCCTTATCTTTTTTTTTTTATTAATTTGTTTGTATGAAGCTGTTTATTTATTTATTTTGTTTTTCTTCTTTTGCCTTCGTATTTTCCTTCTTATGACTCTCGCTAGAAAGAGAATGTCATTTGCCGATTTAGGCACGGAACACCTCTCTGTCCTCGGTCTCTCGTCGGGGGGTGAGAGCGACGCGCTGGCTGGACTTCTCGCCGCCACTCGCCAGACCCCCCTGGCAGATGATCCCCCAGTGGACCGACAGGTCAGACCCCGTGAGACCCCCGAACCCGCCAAACTCTCTCGCTCAGTCGGTTCCCGCTCACGAACCCCCCAGCAGACCCCTCCGGTAGATGATCCCCCAGCAGACCGACAGAGCAGAAACGGCCCAACAAGGAAGACTCACAAGACACAGGAAAGTTCCCACAGACGTGTCGACGGTCACGCGTCATCGCGGCCCTTGCAAACCAGTGAGCCTCTTCAGACACCTGAGTCTGTGTCCTTTAGGGCGGATGAGACGACAGATGTTGGGGAGTCATTTCCTGAGTTGAAAGACCTTGTACACGGAAAGTTGATTCGACCGCTGACAGACGTGCTACATGTGACTGATTTGACACGTATTCAAAAATTAAGTTGGAAACCCATGGTTGATAAAACTCGTGATGTTCTCATACGAAGTGAAACTGGAAGTGGTAAAACACTGGCGTACGCCCTACCTTTATTGCATCAGTTGTTGTGTGATTGTGATAGAGAACCTATTCAGCGTCAGGTTGGAACTATCCTCATCGTATTATGTCCTACCCGAGAATTAGTAGTACAAGTCACGGATGTTCTCAGTGCTCTCACTCGATGTGCTCTATTTCTTACAGTTGGTGGTATTCATGGAGGAGAAAATCGACACAAAGAAAAAGCGAGATTGCGCAAAGGAATTCCCATTTTAATAACAACCCCTGGAAGACTCCTTGATCATCTCAAGGCAACGTCATCTTTTCGTGTTGAAGAGACACAGACTATCGTCTTAGATGAGGCTGATCGACTCCTAGATATGGGATTTGAGCAGGCTATCAGGGAAATCATGGAGTTACTTCTTACTAAAAAAGGAAACCCGAAACATTTAGAAGCAAATCGAAAGTCAACTTCACAAGAAGGGGGCGGAGGTCAGTATCTTAAACGTGTATTGGTATCTGCTACTATAACTGCAGGTGTTGAGAGACTCTCCCACTTTGCTCTCAGGAGGAACGTTGTTCGTGTAGGCGAAACAGAAGATACATTTTCTATTCCATCTTCTCTTCGTCAGCACTACACCGTAGTACCAACAAAACATCGACTATCTACTCTTATCAGTTTCCTTCGTTCTCAGCTAGATGCTGGGGCACAAAGAATCGTGGTTTTCGTATCTACAGCTGATAGTGCAGAGTTTCATTATTGTCTCTTATCAAGATTAAAGTCCCCTTTTTATGGTTCAAGAAATACCAATGGACCTCATGTGACGCCTCATCAGCGTGCACATCGTTACAGTGTGAAGAAGCGAATGGAAGAGGCTAATAGGCATGTTTATGATAATAGCGAAGATGTTGTTACCTTTGATGATGATGATGATGATTCAGGTAATGAGGATAATGGAAAACCTTTATTAGAAACAAACACCCTCCTTAATGTAAACATCTTCAAGTTACATGGTAATATGTCACAGGTAGATAGAGCTTCTGTTTTTCACGCCTTCAAACACGTCAATGAAAACTCTAAAGATCGAGAAAAGGCTATTCTATTCTGTACAGATGTGGCTGCCCGAGGACTGGATATGCCCAAAGTGGACTGGATCGTACACTATGATCCACCAACAGATTCGGCGTGCTATGTACATCGTATTGGACGGACCGCTCGTATTGGTAATGTTGGTGATTCTGTGCTTTTTCTCATGCCACATGAGGAAAGATATATCTCTTATTTGAGTAACTTTATCGCTAAAGGAAATAGTTCTTCTTCGCCTCAAGAAAAGGTTTCTTCATCAGTGATAGAGGAACGAAAGTATGAGTCATTTTTATTTTATCTGACCAAATTAGATCCCAAGTCTAACCACATGTGGATGGATAGCACAGCAACTCTTGAACGTGCTATCAGTAAACTTGTTATGAAACGAAATGAAATTGGAAGTTCTCAAACTGAGGAAAAAGAGAGTAGGGATGACGATCTCACTCGACTTGCACTTTTTGCATATCAATCCTACATGCGAGCCTATGCCGGATATTCTAGAGAACTTAAAAGGCTCTATTTTAACTCAGATTCTCTTCATCTTGGTCACGTTGCACAGTCTTTTGGCATTGATAAGAAGCCCAGCGAGGTTCGTGCACAGTTGCAGGGTCTCATTAAAGCGGACAGGAAGGTCGCACGGGAGGCATCATACCTAGCGACAGAGAAAGAGACTGGCCGAACACAAAAGAAGCTACGCGTGGAAGTTACCCATGATGATCGCTACAGGAGTATGATTGTCCAAAAACAGCGCAAGGTGACTCGTGATTGGTACGATAAAAAGAAGTCTGAGGAGGGACCCTCACACAGGGCACTCCAGTTTACTGAATTTGACGCCTAACTCTGTTGGCGAAATCAGGAAAAAAAAAAAGAAACAATATATCTGATTAATAAAAAGGTGAAATAAAAAACTGAAGAAAGTAAAAGAAGCGACTAAGTGAAAAATTAAAAAAAAAAATTTTGACGTATTTTTAGATTTTTTTATTTTGAAGTACTTACAGTTGGTCTATTGCCCTCTGAGTTGCAATATTATTGGGGTTTTTTTTTTTTTTTCTTTTAAAATAAGGCTAAATTAGGTAAGCTCATATGAATGAATGTGGCGTGTGAAGGGGTATGGAATTGGACGTTTAAAGTTGGAAGGTGCGAACTGCAAACAGAAGGAACGCGAAACGGACACGTACTACACAGTTCCTAACGGCACACGAATTTCCTAACGACACGCGTAATAGGTAACGTTTTTTCTGTTTTAAACCCTGACCCCCCAAACCCGTACTTCTTCCCCATAGCGCATCCACGCTCCGCCCGCTACTCAACACACCACGGGAAGCGATACTCACTCGTTCTGCCCCCAAACGGCTGCGAACATGCACAAAAATTTAAAACAGGAACGCAGCACGCAGCCCGAAACGAATAGCACATGTTTTGGGGCTTGGGGTTAGGGGTGGCCCTGCTTACAGCGCGCGAAGAGCACAAGCGTGTCGCATCTAGAAGTTTTCTTGAAGAGAGAGTGACTGGACGTACGTTGGTCGAGTTAAACGGAAACATGTTGGAAGTGGCGAAGAGTTGTGTGTAAATATAGATTTTCCTGATTGTAATATTTGAATACTGTGAGAACCTACTTGTTATCTTTTCTCTTTATTGTTCTCTTTTCTTATAATTACATAGGTTGAACACCTCCAACTCCTCACCAAGAGTTTTCGGCGCGCCAAGAACTCAAACTAGAGTTTCGAAAAGGAATTAAAGGATGACGGAACAAATGTTCTCATGTGTCCCCAAGATTGCGGAACAACACCTCACTGGAGAGAAACGCGACATGTTCCTCCAAATGTGGGACGATGCGTACAAAGCTCAAGACGTCACAACGATGCAGTTCCTGACAAAGACCGTGTTGGATGATGCCCTTTCACAGGATAAAGGCACCGCATTGGACGATAAGGCCAAACGGACAGAGAATACCAGTTTACAAGACTACCTGACACAACTGCAAGACTACGCCTTGTTCCCGTGGAAACGAATGCAAACAATGGTAAAGAACTTCTGGAAAAAAAATACCGTCACTTACGACGTTAATGAAAGAAAGAAATTGACAAAGGAAAAATTCATTTCCAAGGCCAAGTGTGGTCGCCTAACTCCAACGGAGGTGATGATAGGCCAGTACCTGTTCTTTGCAGAGGACCCCGCATATGGCTTGGAATGCCTCAAAACCCTCCTTTTCATTTGTGAAGAGGAGTACAGAGTCCAATTCCACAACTGGGGACTGTTTGAGAGTTTCGACCCCGTCAAACAGGAGATGTATGGAGCACGAGTGGAGAAACTCCAATACCCTCTGTTCCCGGACCACCCGGAATTCAGGGAGTTGAATGCAAAATTACTCGCCCCGAACGAAGACACCCTTCACGGGGGATCCTCGGATGCAACGCTGGAACTTGAAAAAATGTACGACATGAAGCGGGAAGGTGTTCTTAGCGGAGGTGGCTATTGTGAAGCGATTTATGATGCCCGTGGTCAACAGATTGCCCCTAGGGATATGAGCAACATTCAGCAGCAGTTGGCCAACTTAAGGGCCAAGGTGGAGGACCTAGACCGCAAGCTAAGCCACCACATGAACACACCGAATCATTTTCCCAACACGAAACAGAGAGCCACAGGGACAAGGCAACGAAAGGGGAATACAGGTGCAGGAGGAAGCAAGGGACGTGGAGGTACCTTTGCCACCAACCGACCATATCAGTACAGGGGAGGTGGAGAATATGCGAATCATGAGTTCGACGAATCCCACCCCGGAAACGAGTACTTCCCGTCGGAAAGACAACAACACTAGAACCGACGGGGCGAACAAGGAATTTTTGTGTGGTGCAATTTTGTGGGAGCCCACCACAAAAGTAGTGTTTGAGGGAGGAAACTTCGCGAGGGAAACGGGTTTTACCATGCGACACTCTTCCACGTTTGACACCAGCTCGGGCGAAGGAAATCGAGCATCTTTTTAAGGAAAAAGAGAGTGACCACCTCTTCTTTCCCATCTTTATCCGTCACCACTGGATTGCGGGAATCTTCAGTGTGGTAACGAACAAGAAAACCATCTTAAAAATTTACGACTCAGCACCGTCTCCAATGGTGCAACGAGACCTGGTGCATGCCATCAAATCATGGTGGCCACAGGTGGAGATGAAGGGACGACGACGCCTTATCACCGAGCCTCACCTCAACGGAGTGCTCTCGAAGGCGGAGATACCACGGTGCGAGTACCCTTCTCGACTTGCAAGACGGCAGGAGCTGCGCTACGCACGATACATGCTCCAGATCGATTTTGAGGCGTACTACGATTCCATTCCATTGATGGATGAAGGGCTACGCAACAAGTTCGTATTTCGAGCACGTGATGGTGCACTCTACCGGCTTCGCACGTTGCCAACCGGGGCACGATGGAGCGTCGCTGTGGGACAGGCCGTGACGTGGACAATTGTCGACATTGACACGAGGCGTACCATCCTCACAATGATTGACAATATCCTTATTGCTGCGCACGCCGGAGAAGAGGTGGAGTTTGTGAGAACGGTGCGACAGATCGTCGACCGTATTGAGGTGGCGAACCTCTGCACGTCTCCCAGTCGCGAAGAAGTGCGATCGTGGTCAGACAGCGTCATGTTGGAGGAGGCAAGAAAGACGAATGTTTTTCTTGGGCGAGGAGTTTACTTGGTTGGAAGGGGAACGCAGGGTGCGCAACTCCATCAAGACGGTGTCGAAACTGAAGCTGGGTCTGGTACAGCAACCGCACAGGAGTTTCACGTGCAGAGAATTTGCATCCAACGTGTCACTCATACTGTATGCGTTGCACACCACAAGGTTGAACCCCGCTTCAGCGTTTAATCTCTTGCGTGTGCGTATCGTGGAGTGTACCGCCAGGCGGAACGCGGACGAGGATGGGATGAGCCAATACCGTACCTGGATCCTGGAGTCCGTCAAACAATGATGACGTTAGCCGCACAACTGGTCCAGAACCCTTATTGGACCATTGCGGAAGAGGTAAATGCAACGTACAACGATGAGGACTATGACGTCATTTGCTTCACCGACGCGTCAGCAGATGGGTGGGGTGCGATAGTGATTACGAACCCACCGGCGCCACCACGTTCAGAGAACGTTGCAGAAGATACATGGACACCACACGCCACTATTTACCAGCAGAGGTGGATCCATGATTTTAACCCGGGAGGAAACCCGCGACCGTCACCACAACCTGGACGCCGAGAAGAAGGGACGCGACAAGTTCCTCAGGTCAGTAGCGACACGTTCAACGCACGCCACTCGGCACACGCGGAACCCCGGGCGATCCATCTCCTGTTACAGCACCTCGAACGCCAGGGTGTGATTGTTCACGGCGAATCCATCGCCCACGAAGAAGACGTCGACAGCGACGTAATTTTAACTGGCCCACGACGACGGCCAACACGAGTGGCGGTGGTGACCGACCACTTCCCCATCGCGCACGCGCAACGGCGGCTAAACGGATTTGGCGGCATCGGACGCGGTTATGCGCTGAACAGGCTCTTCGAATACACGAACGAGCTGTTCCACACGAAGGCGGTGCAGGTGGTCTTTTTTTTACATTGCCGGACCCCGCAATCCGGCAGACCACTGCTCACGCAACTTTGGGGTAGACAGGGGAACCCCGTTACTTACTTCACATCCGGCGGACGACTACCTCGTTCCGTTGTTGAGAACCACGTACGGTCCAATCTGCAAAGGACAAGATGAAGCACACGTGACCTTTGCAGGCGTGGAGAACGATATCGACGTGGAAGACGATATTGGCGTGGATGATGAAGTTGAAGAGTTATTAATGCCTCAATAAAGAAGGCATAAGGGCTAATCGCGCACTATGGGGAGCGTTCTTTCCAACCCCGAAAGCCAAAGTACAAGCCACAGAAAGCGAGAAATATCTTTCGTATTTCCCCGTTAATAATGTGTTGATGTACTGGCCTAATCGGCAAACGTTTGTTTCTCAGTTTGACAGGCTGTACCACTTGTGCAAACGCGTATTCTTCTTTTCCTCTTCTCTTCTCCTTGGCAACGCGACAATCCACCTCTGCTGGTAAATAGTGGCGTGTGGTGTCCACGTATCGTCTGTAACGTTTACTGAACGTGGTGGCGCCGGTGGGTCCGTAATCACTATTGCACCCCACCCATCTGCGGACGCGTCGGTGAAGCAAATGACGTCATAGTCTTCATCGTTGTAGGTGGCAGTCACTTCTTCCGCAATGGTCCAATAAGGGTTCTGGACCAGTTGTGCGGCTAACGTCATCATCGTGTTACGGACGCCAGGATCCAGGTACGGTATTGGTTCACCCCATCCTCGTCCGCGTTCCACCTGGCGGTACACTCCACGATACGCACGCAAGAGATTAAACGCTGAAGCGGGGTTCAACCTTGTGGTGTGTAACGCATACAGTATGAGTGACACGTTTGATGCAAATTCTCTGCACGTGAAACTCCGGCGCGGTTCTCGTTTTACAAAGAAGAACAGCAATAGGGAAAAGAAGAATACGCGATTGCACTAGTGGTACGGTACGTCAAACTGAGAAACAACGTTTGCCGATTAGGCCCGAACATCAACACATTATTAACGGGGAAATACTAAAGATATTTATCGCTTTCTGTGGCTTGTACTTTGGCTTTCGGGGTTGGAAAGAACGTTCCCCTTAGCGCGCGGTCCTTGGTGAAGATGTGCTACCTTATCGTGGTACCAAGGTTAAGTACTTGAGTTTATTCAAGGAAACTAAATGCACTCACTAAATTTTTGAAGGAGGTGGTCTCCTTAAAAACCAAATTCTTTTTGTTTTTCTTTTCAGCACATGCGATCTTAGGAATGCTATCCCTTTGGTGGCGTTTGGCTATCGAAAGGTGGAGCCAAAGTCCATTGCCTCTTATTTTGCCGGGGAAGCCATGTCCAGTAAATTCTTTGGCGCGGAGTTTTCCTGTTTTGATAAGCTACAAACGTCAAGCAGCACCGGGGCCAGCAGAATCGTGCTGGGACAACACTTTATCCAAGAAGGTCCTGGGGCGCGGGCCGGCGTGCCATCAGCAGCAGTTTCTTTTATATAATTCACCTTGGTGTGAATGCTGCTAAAAATGGAGTTGCAGGGACCTTAGAGATAGTAACAATTATGCCCTCCAGTGGTGGAAATTGGATTGGCCCGCTGAGGCAGCTCCGATAGACGAAAAAATCCATTTTCTGCCACCTACGAGATCCATTGCAGTCCCATTGCCAAGGCGTAATTCCACTGCGTAGCGGTAATAAAATACAATAAAAAACAAAAACAAACAAATATATATATATATATATATATATATATACAAAAATAAAATGTTCTCAATGGCGTTCGCATTTTCAGACTTACAATGTGCGGCCAACATAACTCAATGGTAAAAACGTGAAAAAACTGAGCACCCTCCGTAAAAGCACAAGTAAAAATGAGGGTGCTCAGACTCACGTAAAAACACTCTTTGCGGGATCTTCGCTGCTCTTATGTTATCGTAACCCTCGGGATGGTTTACAACTTGCAGGGTCCCAGACGTGATCAGTAAAAAGAAACAAAAACATTAAAATGTAACGATCCGTCTTTTACAAAGAGATATAAAATATTTTTAAAAATTTAGAAAAAGTTGAAATTAAAATCCGCTTGGTTGTGGGTGGGTGGGCTTTTCAAAACTCTCTTTCGAGTTTTGAGCGCGTCGAAACCCCCATTGGGAGGAGCTGGAGGTTTGCAGCCTTAAGTCATTGCATGAATACAAAAAAGGGTGAAAAAGAAGAAACAAGAAATGTTCACAAAGCATTCAAGCAATACCAAAACCAAGTCTATTTATATGCACACAAACTCTCCATCACTCCCTGCGTGTTTCTGTTTACAAGACTACCGTACGTCCAGTCTCTCTCTCTCCGAGAAATTTCGGTAGACGACACGCTTGTGCTTAACGATTGCGAAAAGCACGGCTACTGTCACTTTACTAAGAAGAAGAGAAGAAGAGGAAAGGAAGAACGTGTTTGCACAAGTGGTACGGTACGTCAAACTGAGAAACAACGTTTGCCGATTAGGCCCGAACATCAACACATTATTAACGGGTAAATACTAAAGATATTTTCACGCTATCTGTGGCTTGTCCTTCGGCTTTCGGGGTGTGGGAAAGAACGTTCCCCATAGTGCGCGATTAGCCCTTATGCCTTCTTTGTTGAGGCATTAATAATTAATAATAATCTCCACCTCAGCGAGAGCCTCGTGTGCTTCGCTTTGCCCTTTGCGGACCGGGCCGTCGGGGGGTTTGCCAGAGCGGAAACGAGGCAGTCGTCCGCTGCACGTGTGTAGTAATTGGCGGGGTTCACCCGTGTACCCCATAGTTGCGTTAGCCTTTTTGTGGCTATTGTAGTGACCATATCTCCCGCCTCACGTCGCGGAGGCTTCCATCTCAGTAAGCAGCGTTAGACTGTTTATACCTGATATTTCATGTACTCGAGGTAGCAATACAGATCGCAGGTGAACATAAGCCATACGAAATGTTGTATCCAACAAGGCTGCACTGTTTGATGTTGGTCAATCTTCTTCTTGTTGTTCATGTTGATGGTGTTTTGCTGTTTCTTCTTCTTTTCTCCCTCGTCGCGGGGTTGTTTGTTGTTGCCTTATTGCCATCGGTTTTATGTTCCTTATTATGTCTCTTGCGCTTTGCGCGCATACTCGTGTTCAACGGCATCGTCGCGTGCCTGTTGTTGTAATTCTGCCCACTGCAGTTTATATCCTGCAGAGGACCGCTGGGGTAATTAACGTCCCACGGCCCATTTATCTTGGGCCTCCCACGATGTGAGAACTCTAAAGCGTTTATCGCTTAATTCATGATAGTGTCCCGTAATGGGATCACCAAAGCGTTCAGTAGAGATATCAAACTTCTCCTCTCCAGAGAAGATGGCCCATGATGGCAATTTACTACTTGCTTTTTCCTTATCATTTTATATTTTGTTTTTTCTGCTGTTTCTTCCATTGAAGAAGCAGAATCAGTGATCGTAGTTGGTGAAGTCCCGTGTTCATTGTTTTCGCTTATACCACTCGTATGGCCGTGAGTACTGTTTCGTTTTCCTCTGAAATGCCAAGGACATGTGATGTCGCAGAGAGTATTGTATAAGGTGGTCTAGAGGACTTCACCGATGAAGCTACCGTGTCGGCATCTAACAACTTCTTTTCACGTCGCCATGCGTTCTGTAAAAACCACATCCTGTTCGTCATCTCAATATCCGATTGTTGTTTATTCGGTGGATTCAATGGCGGTGGTGCTCTTATTCCCATTTCCTGTGAATCACCTTGTGCGAGCATGGTGGAAATCCTGCCGCTGCCCATCGTGTGGGGCAGGTGAATTATGGCGGCACCTAACCTCCCATTATCTCCTGCGATGATGGGGGTGTTGGTGTTGGTGGTGGAGTCATGAGTCGTGAGGGCGTCAGTGTATGAAAGTCCACATCAATATTTGTGTTTGCCTCATCTGTGCAGCGTCGTCGTGGTTGACTCGATCCATCGTGTCTCGCTGGTCTTCGCACCGGTGTGCGGTAAGACTGACTGTGTGGACGACTCTGGTGGGGATGATTCCCTACCGCGTGGTAGCAACCTTGTTGCTGTTGTGATGGTTGTTTTCTTCTGGGCTTCTCGTGTCTGAGCTCCAGAACAACCATAATGTTTGTAAAGGTTCACAATGTGAACCATGTTGAAAATTACTTAGTAATTTTCGTTCCGCTCGCTGCTGTTGATTTGGCAAATGCTTTCGTACATCACGTACCTGTCGCACTACTTGACGATTAATTCTCACGATACTCATCCACTACTCCTCCACCGTGATAACGCAATTCGTCACTCTGGGAGACGTGCTGAAGAAAAAGGTACCATTGAACCAATACCATAGACAGCCACAGATCGACCATGTAAAATCTGATCAATCGTTTGGTAAAGAGGCATTGTCATCCTTGCATCCCGGCGTCCGCAAACAGAAACACTCCGTGAAAACCTTCTGGGAGACGGCCATTGTTGATCCATTGTTGCAATTGGCGAGAGTCGTCCCGATGGCCGGGTGTCGTATAATTTTGATGCGGTTATGCCGATGCCACTTTCGTCGGTGGGTGCATAGTCCCTGCTATCCACCGGTGGCTGTGTTGCTGTTGCCCGTTAAGAATAGTGGAGACCAAAACCGTTCGGTACGCGTTCGAACCTCTTCTCATCTCGACTGCTCTCCGTATGTCCGTCTTCGAGAGCTGTGTCTTCTTGATGGTTCGGGATGTGCGTAAATCGTCGAAAACGGTTGTCCGCCATACAGCGTAGCGCACGCTCCAGGAAGTCTCTGGCAGCCGTATGCGCTGTGGGCAATCCTCGGACGGCCTCGATGTTGAGGAGGGGGTGGCGTCCTTCAAATGGAGTGGCCAATGGAGTATATTGCATGCTGGCGTTGTTGCTGCTGTTGATGTTTTGTTGTCTCGTTGTTGTTTTGTAAAGAGAGACGAATGTGTTTGAAGATAAAAACTTGGGTCCAAGTTCACGTGTGCTTGGGGCCGTGTTTCCTGGGAACTCCGCTCGAAGGAGGGCACGGACGGCGTTGTCCCGTGTGCGTTCTGCATCCCGAGTCATTTGGAGATAATTATCCAGATACCGTCGCAATGTTTCGATGCGGGTATGCCATATCGTGCTCATGCGGTGCTCTTCAGACATCCTTTGTGCGGCCAGGTGTCGTGTCGCTCCTTCCCGTAATGATGGAAGGGCGTATAGCGGGTTGTCGCTCCGCTGTGCCTGGCGTATCCTGTTCCGGCGTGTCGTGACGTCCTGGAAACAGTCGCTGATGTGGAAGATGCTGGCTAAAGGAGTAGTGGAGGACAGACGCGTCCTCGTGTGTTCGCTTAGCCCCTTCCGCATGGGGGCTGCGAAACTGTGTTCCTATGCCTTACCTCATGGTCAAATGTCTAAGAATTAGTAAAATCTAATCTTGACAAAGTGAACCACGTAAACACGTTGCAGATACCTCTCATTCAGAGGATGGCCTTAACCTGATCAGAGAGAGATGCGAGAGTGCCCTCAACAATGAACGTAAACGTTTCTCATTAAATTCATAACTTTTATATGGTTTCACAGAGATAACATTCCAAGTAGTGTTGCGTCCCAATAAATGACGCTGTCGTTCCAACATTCTTGTAGCATCAGGCGTTGGCAGCTAACAAGTTCCGCCGCAAATAAGTTTATTACTTCTGTATTGGAGCGTGATGGATGTAATGTTAATTTCTTCTCCATAGTTGTTTTAAAGCACTTGGCGTCATGTTCAACAAATCGATATGGCGTCTATTCGTTTGACGTGTCTGATAATCAGATGTCGTTGAGGAAGTACTAATATGTGATCCTGCATATTTTTTCCTTATTACCTCATTATTTTTATTATTTAATGGATCATCCGTTGTATGTTCCTTTTCTGCAGTAATACGTCGCAGATGTGAGATGTTTCCTTCTCAGTCGTGGTTCTCTTTTATAGAGAGATGTAGCAATGGTCGAACATTGCTTTTATAGTCTATTCGACTCGTATGTCCTCCGCGTGGAGGGGCCCAATTATGTCTACCGTCCGCGCCTCGTTGCACCAGATCATCACGATGACTAGGGCTGCGTGTGGGCACTCTTCCGTGAGTACCCTGTGTGCATTCTATGCCTCTTCGTGTGTCACCGGTGTTGGTGGGTTCGTGGGTGCACGGCGTTCGGAACGGTGTGCCCTGCCTTCGTTGTGGTTCGCCAGCTGGGACTGTGGGGTGAACGTATCGTGTGTTACCGTTTCCGTGTCCTTATCACCACCGTGTAGAAGCTCGCTCGTTTACACGACCATCGTGTTTCTGTTGAGCAAGGTGTGCTTCATGGCTGTAAGAAGATTATCCTTCGGTGATTTCGTGTAGCTTTTGCCTACCTCTTTTGGGTAGGGGCGTAACCGTTTTGGCAGGAGCCGTGGTGGTGCCATATCGGCACTCGTAGGGATGTGGCGTAGAGACTTGCCGTCAAACAAAGATCCCGCAATCCTCGTTGTAGCGTTCATGTCGCACACAATTCCCTTGTAATGTCACTGTGTGGCCATCATGCTTGGATGGCGTGTACCAGGCCCCGTGGCACCATTGGAGTCGGTGCTGAGTAGTAACTTGTCGGACGCTTTTTATCGCTCTTTGTCGCACTAAAGATTCCCGCAATCCAGTGGTGGCGAATAAATATGGAAATAAGATGTAGTCGCACTCTTTTTCCCGGAAATATGATTCATTTCCTTCGCCCGAGCTCGCGTCATAATGTGGGAGGGTGTCGCATGGTAAAACCGACTGCCTCGGTAAATACCTCTGGAAATTTTAGTCCTGTTCGTTAGTGGACGTTTTCCTTGTCGCGTGAAGTCTCCTCCATGTAGTACTACGTTCGTGTGGGACCCTCGTTAAAGGTACACCACAGGACATTCGCTATTTCCCTTCGTCGGTTTTAGGGCCATTGTCGTACCGACGGGGTGATACGAGTTTTGGGTGGGATTCGTCGAATTCATGATTCGTATATTCTCCACCTCTGCTGTACTGGTCTGCTTGGTTTGTTGCAAAGGGTACATCCGCGTCCCTTGCATCCTCCTGTGTGTGTCTCCTCTTCCATACCGGAAGTCGTTGGCTTGTCCCTGTGCTCTGTGTTTTGGTGTTCGTTTACGGAGTCTGTGTGTTCATGCGCTGATGTTGCATGTGCTGTGACTCCCCCACCATGGCCATTAAGTTGGCCAGCTGTCGTTGAGCGTCGCCCATATCCTTTGGGTCAATTCGCTGCCCATGGGCGTTTTAACGGGCCTACAGTTGTGTAAATCGGACTGCGTTCGTCTCTTCGTAATTCAAGAAGAGTGTCTCCAGGCACTTTAGACCATATTCGCGGTCTTTTGCAGGGAACGTGCAATGGTCTGCCTCACCTCCGTTGGTGTTAAGGGGACCTGTTGTGGCCTTGCCAATGCGCATATTTTCTTTGCTGCTTCCAGGCCTTCACTATCCTTGTCGTGAGAGGCGGGAAGTTTGGTCCAGCAATTATGTGTCATTGCGTGCTTTCATTTTCACGGGAACAATGTACCATCTTGTTGCTGCGTGAGAAAGTCGTGTGCCGTCTCGCTGGGATTCCCTCTGGCTTAACACACTCTCCTCCACAGACTCGCGTGTCCTCTTACTGTGTTGTTGAGATGCCATCGGCTGCTCATGTTGTCGGGCCCGTTCCGTTGTTCTCTTCTGAGTTGTCGCTGGCTTGCTCTCCACCGTGTGTTTTGGCTTTCGGGGTTGGAAAGAACGTTCCCCTTAGCGCGCGGTCCTTGGTGAAGATGTGCTACCTTATCGTGGTACCAAGGTTAAGTACTTGAGTTTATTCAAGGAAACTAAATGCACTCACTAAATTTTTGAAGGAGGTGGTCTCCTTAAAAACCAAATTCTTTTTATTTTTCTTTTCAGCACATGCGATCTTAGGGATGCTGTCCCTTCGGTGGCGTTTGGCGATCGAAAGGTGGAGCCAAAGTCCATTGCCTCTTATTTTGCCGGGGAAGCCATGTGCAGTAAATTCTTTGGCGCGGAGTTTTCCTGTTTTGATAAGCTACAAACGTCAAGCAGCACCGGGGCCAGCAGAATCGTGCTGGGACAACACTTTATCCAAGAAGGTCCTGGGGCGCGTGCCGGCGTGCCATCAGCAGCAGTTTCTTTCACACAATTCACCTTGGTGTGAATGCGGCTAAAAATGGAATGGATTTTTTTTTTATAATTCATCTTTAGTCACGATAGCAATCTGTAGAAAATAAAGTTATAGCATTAGTTAAGAACCCAAAAAGCATCTTAGTGTTAAATGGGACCGTCTTTTTATTTGGAGCGGAACCAAGAGTAGCAATACTTAATTCACGAAGTCGGGGACGTTCCCATAGCATGTGTGGGAGTGTCTCCTTAGGTCCAGGACAGACGTCTTCGTGTGCGTGTTGCTGATTCTGTTGTAATATATCAACCGTGGTAGTGGGGTGCGAGTGTGTTATGCGTTGGCATTCAGCTCATTTGCGATAATGACCCGCACGCGATGCAGATGTCTTAAAGACTTTAGCACCGGAACAATATCCACGTACTAACCCCTCCTCTATGATCGATATTCCTGGGTGCACGCGTTTCGCATGAAGTTTCATGGTTGCGACAGACGTGTAAACCGATTTACAGATTGGGCAGGTGGATGTAGAACGATTAGGTCTCAATCTGATACTTCGAAGAGGCGTCGCTGGGGTAGGTTCTTTAGGCGGGGCAGGTGCATGCCCTCCTTCCTGTAGAGGATGGCACCATCTGCAGTAGGGGTTGCGCGTAATATTTAGAGCACGTGCTAGACGGCCAAATAAAGGGCACATTTCCCAACGAGCTTGCGCGCACAGCCGCGATTCCTTTCCTAGAATATCAGGATCTAGGTGGAGGGCGTTCTTGCCGTACCCACTAGAGCCGATCGTGGGGTAGTTCCGCATTCCTCTTCATATTGGACCTGCTGCCAGTGCAATCTCTTAACCGCAGTAAGAAAATCAACGTGCCAAATTGAATGCTGTCTTGAGGAGGGTCCCGGGCCCTATTAGCTTCAGCGTCAGCTGCTTCATTACGTTGAATTCCACAGTGGGCTGGAGAAAATATTATATCTACTGTTATATTACGACATGCAAGGGAGAGTAACATAAGCCAAATATCTTCCGTTACCCGGTCATGGACTGCCAAGGGTCCGGCTCGGATGGCTTCAATGGCTGGGAGCGAATCCGTCGCAATAAGTATAGATGTAGGGTCTTGAATGTTTTGTAAGGCCGGAAGTAGAAGGTGGGATAAGCCTCCTTCCAAGGCCAGGCATTTAGCCCTATAGGAGCATGCTAGAGCGCCCGCTGCCGCATGATAGAGTTGTAATGGTGTATCATGGGTCGCAGTACCATCATAAAGTAAAGCAGCAGCTCCTGATGCGCTTTCAGCGAGTGAGGAGGATCCATCCGTCCATAATTCAAAGCGATGAGAAGAGAGCTTTGTATACACAGCTTCAAAAGCACGCTTCTTTACCTCTTCAGAGGCATCTTTATCGTATTGAGGTTGATGGAAACGAATAAAATGACATAATTCTGTTTCCCATGGACGGATGCGACGGCATATAAGAGGTTCACGAGGGTGATCAGTAGGTATCCCAATAATATTACACACTCGTTTCAGTTCTTTAAGGACTGTCTCTCTTGGTAAGGGAATCGGCGTTGCTGTGCGGCGATTCATCGTAGGTGGCTCAGTCTGCGTATAAATGGCTCTACGAATGTCGTCAGTGTCAGGAAGGCGTAGAAATCTCTCATGTTGGGCAAGTGCCCTAAGCATAGATATTTTGCTTAAGGGTAACAGGTTTGCTTCTAAATAAACGGAAGAATTTTCTGTTGCAGTACTTAATCCTGGGGAGGCTTTACAACTGCCCCGATATCTCACTTCTAAGTTTTGAAGATACGTCGGCGCAATGCATGGGAGAACAGCCTCGCACCCATATAGCAAGACACTATGCACGTGTCTAATGAGAAATGAACGCATGGTATGATGATTTGCACCTGCTTGTGCAACAAGTTTAAGCTGATAACGGCGTATCATCGTTTGTTTGGATGCTTTATCAACGTGAGGGCCAAAGTTGAGTAAACGGTCAATGGTCACACCAAGAAGTTTAACGGGACGAGACTCAATACGGAGTGTCCCGTGACCAAGCCGAAGATGTACCTCTTCCGCATCGGATGCTGTATGGGAAGAGGCGTAGAAGAGTACTGCGTCACTCTTAGATACGTTCAACTTCAAGTTGTACTCGGCAGCCCATGTAGTAATCACATCGAGGGCTGGTTGAATCGCCGAAGCACAAGCGTGGATGTCTGCTCCAGAAGCAACAAGTGTCAGGTCATCCGCATACATAAATGCTGACACAGAGAAGATATTCTCCAGACGGCATAGCAGATCGTCCACATAGTAGAGGAAAAGCTGGGGGCCAAGTACACTGCCTTGAGGTACCCCAGCAGATGTGAGTTGCGCTCGAGATGTATTTTCATCCACTCGCACCTTGATATAGCGACCGCGCAGATAGTTTTGTAACCATCTCTTCGTGCGGGGTCCTAGTTGCGGAAGCCTATCCAGAATATTCAATAATTTGCAGTGATCAAGAGAATCGAAAGCTGTCGAAAAGTCAATCAATACTGCAAGCGAACGGTGGCGCCGGGGATGCAAGTTAGGCGATCCACCACCTGTTCGAGGATATTCCACCATAGAGAATTCATTAAGACCACGGGTAATCTGATCCAACATAAGAGTCACCACATCCGTAGTACATCGGAGGGCCATAAATCCAAATTGTCGAGGGTGATGAAGGAATGAATCTGTTAGGCATCGGTGGGCCATACGTTCGGCCACCTTAAGCAAGACTGATAGTAATGTCACTGGACGGTAACTTTCAGTACGGCTGGGGTCCTTACCCGGTTTAGGGATAGGGGCCGTCACCCCTTTCTTCCATTGCGGAGGAAACTCTCCAGATGCAAAGGAAGTATTTATCATTACCCGAAGCGTGTTTCGAGCAACAGGACCAAGATGATGGAGAAAATCATTCATAATACCATCAGGCCCAGGTGCTGTTCCCAGAGGAGCATCATGGATGGCCAGATCCAATTCATAAGCGGTATAAGGTCGATCCATGTCACAAAGAGCACCACGACAGTCTTGTCGTATAGGTGGGGTATTTGTGAGTAAAGCACGTGAGACCTGTACAAACTGGCGAACAAGTAAGTTGGCTTTTTGGCAGGGGCGCGCACAGGTACGATCATTAAGTGATCGGAGAACCACTGTAGAAAGTGGGCGAGGAGGCGATGCCGCCAATCCTCTTAAATAACGCCAACTGGGGGTGGACAAGGCCCCGAGTTTTTGAGCGCGGGATTCCATAAGTAATTGGATCCCTCGACGAAAAGCCGAGTTTCGTCGATCCTTGGCCCGGATGAATGCGTTCCGAAGCATGTCACCATGTGGGGTGGCAAGGTGAGCCTGAAACGCGTCTTCAGCCTGTTGAGATGCCAAATCCATATCTTCCGTCCAAATCGTACGAGGGTTGTCACGGCTGCCCTTAGGAATAGTTTGTTTTGCCGCACGCAGGATGCCACGATAGACCGACTGCCATGTAGTAGCATTTGCTAACGCCGAGTCGCACTTCGAAGTGAACTTGGGCCAATCAGCCTTTCCGAGTGCAAACGTTGCAGATTTGCGGCGCGGTAGTGTATTAGTCACGCTAAGTTCGCCTTCACCTATCGCAAGGGAGTAACTGATCAAACTGTGATCAGAATCCATATACGGTGTAGGTGGCCAATTGCCAACAGTCACCGAACGTGAGAAAGTCACATCATGGGACGAGCTATCAGTTCCATTGGTTCGTGTTGCCAGCAAAGGGTTGTTTACCACTTCAAATCCAAGATCCACCAAAGTTCTTGCAAAGTCTTCTCCTTCTTTGGAAGCAGGCAAACGGCTGTCCCAGATATCATGGTGTAAGTTAGCATCGTGAGCCACAAGCGCATGTGGGCTTTCCCAGGAGCGTGGCTCATGGGAACAAGAGTGTCAGAAGAGAATTGTTTTGGTGTTTTAGTGTGATGTGGGTTTTGAGGGTGAAATATGAAACGGTTAAAAGTTATTGTGTTGTGATATATTTGTTTGTTTTATATATAAACTTTGCGAGCTCAAGCACATATCATCGCATGTAACTTGCTGCAACGCTATTGTCTATCTCTTCTCTCTTGTTTTCTGTATTTTTACACAAACGGATAGTCTAAGTGTTTGCTTCGGTTGTTTCGTTTTTGATTCGATAGAGATCGTTTCTTTTCGCGAATGCAGTGAAATGAAAGGAGTGTCGAGCAGCAACCGGCTGACTCCAGCAGGTTCAGTGCAGAAATAATCGCCACCTTTCAACGCGACAGCCTATATAAAATGGATCCGTGGAGACAACAAGCTGACAAATATATTCAACGGCGCGACGTTTTAAAAGCCCGTGCGAAAAAACCGGAGATACGGCCCTTGTTACAGCAGGCTTTCGTGGAAAGGATGAAATCTAATAATCCTTTTTCACAAGAGGTGAGTTTCATTCTCATGACGCTCCTGTACAGCGGAGACAAAAATCCACATATTATGCTGGCTGACATGCTACTCAACATGTCCGCTAAGGAGCGTTTTCCTACGCACAATTGGTGGGTATATAGGAATGCAAATGAAATTTTACAGGATTCCATGTCAAAAGCCCTTGCCTCTGACAACCTTATATTCCCTCTCTTTCCAGGCAGACAAATGGACACCCAGAACCGTTGCCTGATTGAGGATGCTATGGGTGCAAAACGACTGGCGGATATGGGGGCGACAAACATGGAAGCACTACAGTTCCTTTACCCGAAAAGCCGTGCCTTGTTCGCCCAGTCTCCTCCTGCAACTAACGTCCTCAGCGGAGGTGAGCCTTTCATACCAGTACTCGATGGTAACAATAATCAAGCCGGATACTGGGACGGAGCACCGGTCAAGGAGAGATTTGACCAATTGCAAAAAGAGATACAAAGTCTCCGATCCGCGATGCAAAGATTTTCTTCTGCTAACAATGGAAGTGGCACCTACGCTGGAAAGGCCAACGGAAGCAACCGCCGCGGTCGTGGTGCTGGAAATGCCCAGCGCGGTGGGCGCCGTAGTGGGCGCGGGGGAGGTTACAACTACCAACAAATGTACGGTGGTGACGCTTCCGACGACGGCGAAAATATGCACACAACAAACGAGACAATTGTACAGGCAAAAAACGGATTCGGTGCTCGTCACCCAATGGCGTGGTATTGAGTGGCGGCACCATGATTGAAGGGAAAACCACGAATTTTGACCTCGACCGCATATTCAAGAATTACCTGCCCCAAGGTTCTGTTTTTCCATGCATTGCAGTGTGCGAAATCAATGGCTGCTCGATTCGTGACCTGCGA